CCCAGCCGCCCGCCGCCGCCTACAGCTGCGCCTGCCCCGCCGGCGTCTCCGGCGCCTCCTGTCAGGTAAGGGCGCCCGGCATCTGCCGCCCCCTGCCCGCAGCCCCGGCCGCCTTCGGTCTCCGCAGTCGCGCCCCGGCCTTCGCCGCCATCGGCGCTTTGAGGAGACCGCGGCGTTTGTAGCGCCCCGCTCGCAGCCCCGGGACCGCTCGGGCGGCTCCTTGGGTAGGGCTGAAATGCCGGACAGCGCCCAGCGCCCCGGGAAGGAGCCGGCCGCTGCTCCCGCACAAGTTTCGGTCGCCGCCCGTGGGTTGGGGCGGTGAAGGTGTCCGTGCTGCAGGGGCCTGTCAGGCCGGGGCGGGGGAGAAGGGTGGGAGTCCTACCCCCATCCCCACCTACCCCCCTCCGAGCACCTCTCTCCTTCTTTCTGAAGAGAAGGATTTGTTTCATGTGCCTTCAAACCACAAGGATGTGCTTCCTGGGAGGACTGGCATCTCCAAGGACAACACGCGCTTATTTTTCTAAGACCAGTTTTGCGTTTGTAATGACTCTTTTGTTTTGTTTTTTTTGCATGTCTATAGAGAGCAAAAGTATGTTTCTTCATCTTTATAGATCCATGGCTATATGGAGACCTACAGAGCTATGCAGCGTTATAAAGCTGTGACCATAGCTTTTTCAGAGCTATGCATCTATATAGATATAGATGAAGAAATACACTTTTGCTCTCTCTGTGAAGAAATACACTTTTTTTCCCTGTCAAGGAAAGCCATAGCATTGTTATTTTTGATGTGTGTGTGTGTGTGTGTGTGTGTATTTACACATATCTAATACATGCCTATTTTGTGATGTGTATGTATATATGTGGACATCTATACGTGCATAATACAGACCACAAAATAGCTATGGCTTTCCTTGACAGGAAAAAGAAAAAGTGTATTTCTTCACAGAGAGAGCAGAAGTGTATTCCTTCATAAGACATGAATGCCATGGGTAAGTATTCAGTTCCAAACACTGCATGGATGATGTTGAAAGCGCACGCACTTTAGAAAGAAGTATGGCTATGCTCATCTCAAAATGTCCCACTTGCTTTCTTTTAAGGATGAAAATTGAAATATTAGCACTAATGAGTTTCTGCAAAATCAGAGATTAAAATGGATTAATAGAATGTCTTATGGGTAATTTTAGCTGTCTTGCTAAAGAGTTATTGTGTTCACCACTTTGGAAGAGAGCGAGGCAACAATATTTATACTTCTGTCTGTTGCTATTTTGCTTTTGTGTCTGAAGTCCATGTCTGAAAGAGAAAATAGCTCTCTCTAATGCTTAGTAAACTGTAACAGTAGGAGGTGTTGCTTCTGGAGCTTTGAGAGGAGAGAGGAATTATTTTTTTTTTTATCTGAGAGGATCAACATTAAGTTCACAACTGTTTATACTTATTAAACAATGCATAGATTCTGGGACTATTGTTAATTCTATTTTGTATTATTGACTTCTATTTTAACCAGCTGAACAATATTTATTACAAGGGATGCTTTATAAACTGAACAACAAGAAATTCAACCCTGTCTATCATGACTGAAGATGGAAGTATAGGTTATTGTGAAAAGTGAAGAACATGTTCTTTTTCATTGCAACTAGTTAAAGGACAAAAAAAGAAAGAAAAAAAACCCCAGTAGAATATTATATGCATCCACATTAAAGATTATTTTTTATTTTATCAAAAGGAAAAAATTTTTTTGGATTTATTCAAATTAGAAAAAATATGAATTCTTGGACAGATAGTTTGCTCATGCAGAAGTTTTCTTTTTTTTATCAGTTAAAAATGCTTGCAAGGTGAAAAAAATATATGTTCTGTCAGATGAACTTTTTAGACTCGGAGAAAGTCGAAGGAATTTTAATTCCAGAAAGGTACGTGAGATGGCTGAGTACTTGGATATAAAGTTTCAGTCTCAGGCAGTGGTTTCTCAAATTACTTTTGAAGGACATAATTAAACAATTATATTTTGGGGAAGGAAATACTGAGAGGGAAAACATGAAGAGAAAAGGATCCCTGTTCTGTTGAAATAACTTGTCTTTAGTTATGTGAAAATGGTAATTTTGCAATGCTGGAATTTGTTGTAGAGCTGGAATTCTTTGAAAACAATATAGCTGAATGTAGTTCTGTTTTATTATACACAATACTTCCTGGAATAAAGAGTAAGAGAAGAATCACTTGATTCTGTTTTTATTTTCATGCACAGAGGTGTGGGGTCAGGGGAAGATGCCCTACTAACTGCATCTAGAGAGCAGCTCACTGCAGTGAAGCACTCATTTCTGCATGTACTGGAGGGGGACTGATAACCTGGTCACAGCTGGAAGTTATCCAGAACATCCTCTGCAAAGTGCTAGCTGTAACCATTTTTGATGTACTTCACAGTGCTAGTGTTGGTAAGGGGAAAGTGGCAAAGAAGAAAATTGACACTTAAGATATTTTTAAAATCTGCAGCTTTTCTGTCACCAAGTGCAATCTTTCACTTGCTTTTTTTTGTCTTGAACCATTTTTATTATGTGATGTGGCAGTTGCTGTGGTAACTAGTTTTTATTGAGTAGAAGAAGAAAAAAAATATATGCTTTGTTGATGCCTACAATGAGATTATTTACAGGCAGTTTTAATACATGTTGTTTTTCACACACCAGGTTTCTAATTTGCATTCTTTCTTTGCACATTCAGCAGCATATTGGTTTTTCTTAAACTCCATACCTTTTCAGGGCTGTGACTATTTTAGATAAGTTAACATAATAAGAAAGGCAGTTTGTATAGAAGAGAAATATTTTTGTAACTTCACAACTCTCATATTTCTGAACAAGATAATTTTAGGCTTTTGCTTTTGGTAAAGAGCATGAATGGTTTGCCTAAGATTGTGCAAATATTTATGTTGGATCCAGTTGTCCTAGAATTGTTTGAAACAATTTGTCCAATTTCTTAGCTTTATTCTGAGAAAAAATGGTGCTTGAAAATTGAACCTAACAAGCTACAGGCAACATGTTTAAAATCTAAAATCCAAGCAGTTTTTTAATGCAATGAAGTACTGCCTGTCCTCTTTTTTTAGCTGGAAAGTCATTTGGCTTTACTAAATAAACTTCAGGACAAGAACCCCCCCTCCCCCCCAGTTAAACAGGAATGAAGCTTTTCATAACAGCTAGATGTTTTCCTTTATTTAAAAAATAATAAGAAACTGAATTGGTCAAGTAGTTTTCTTATGTATATCAATTTCTGTGAAGTCCTACTGACAGTTTAATGGAGAGACTTTTCTCACATAGAAACATGTTACTATTAATACTTCTCGTGCAACACTGTCAGACACTTTTTATTTCTGAATTTTGTTTTTTTGTTTGAAAATAATTTATTTCCCTTCCATTTAAATCTTCTCCAGTAGTAATTTATTCCATCCCCATCCCTTTTCTGTGCTTTTCAACCAGTTTTTAAAATTTTTTTATCTCCTTGTTTCATAAATATCTTCAATAATATCAGCATAGCCAGAGAACAAGTTCTGTCTTTGGCATACATAACTGAGTGCTGTCATCACTTGAATTTTTCCCCCCTTGGGTTTGTTGTTGTTTCACACAATGCACTTCAGTTATCTTGGCCTCAAGTTACCCATATCTGAAATGGACATAATACCTAGCATGGATGGTGATGGTCTTAAAACTGAAGCAACTTGGGAGACTGTGATAAAAGAGAAGTTTTTACAGCAGTTTTTATGTTAGCCAAAAGGTCTGTTAGTCCTGGTAACAGTTTCCTGTGTTCATCCTATTTACTAGGTTTTTCGATATCTGCAACAGATACTGCTTTCTAAATCCTGTATAACTGTGACTGTGGCAATTTTATAGTAAATGGTATATATGGAAAGTCATATCCTCTATTTGGGAGGGAGAATCTACTAAAAGATTTAAAACCAGTATATACATCCAGGTAGACATGTCCTTTCTAGTTCTGCTGTTAAAAATGCTTTGTCTAAGCTAGGTGAGACTTTTTTCTTTGATCATGTCAAAGCATCTGGAGAAAATCGTGTTCTTTAAGATTTAAAATTTCATAGACTCTTGGAAATTAACTTTGGTAAAGACCCAGAGGACCATGTTTCCCAGGTCTCTGCCACATCAGGATTTTATCTAGATTTTAAAGTCCCAGATAAGATGGTTTCTGTCATTCCCTTTGGGTCACTTGTCCTCTCGTTGCCATTTTTTCCTAATATTCAACCCAAATGTACTTTTGCTTGATTATGTCCCATATAACTCCTGTTATATGTGCTCCTGTCTTCTTTTGATGGTCATGCTTATCAAACATGTAGAGAGAGTTTTATTTCCTGCCAGCAAACTAGGCATATATTCAGCTCTTTAGCTCTTCTACTTTTCTTCATATGCCAGTTCCTTCATTCTAGTTATATTTTTATTTTTAGTTCTTTGCATTTCTTCTATTTCAGTTCTCAGTGTCTATTTGTTATGGACTTCTTATTCCTCAACGTAAAAATCAAGTTCAGTCTACTCAGTTTAACTGGGACTACACAGAAAATCACAGAATCATAGGGAAGTAGGGCTGGAATGGACCCCCAGAGATCATCTGGTCCAACCTCCTGCCTGAGACAGGATCATCCCTATCCAAAACATCCTGTACAAATCTATTGTCTAACCTCTTAGCAAAACTATGCAACCTAATGCAACATGGGACATAACACCTTAACCTGCCACAGGTAAAGCAAGGGGATCACAATGGCCAATATCCTGCTGCTGTAAAAGGTAGTTAATATATATTAAAGACATCCCAGAAAGAGGGCCACACCACTTACTACAGAGGAAGGCAACTGCCCCCACAGTCCCAACCAGTCTGGTCATGGGGTAAAATTCCTTCCTGACCCCAAATATGGCAATTGGTCTGACACTCAGCAGGGGGGCAAGACCCACTAGCCAGGAACCTTTGGCTTAAGTCCCAGCAACAGTATGGGTGTATCCCAGCCCTGGTTGCAGCCAGCTAATGTCTTTCTCTTCCGTGATATGTCAGCAATGCAAAATTGCATCAGTTCAGGTCTTGAGAT